AGAAATATGAAGAAACTTACAAGGTGCCCCTCTCCAGGGTTCCCCCTGCCAAAATCACTCTGAAGCTTAACACTTTCATAGCATCGAAACTCTATGAATGTAGAAGATCATTAAAGCAGACTCAGATTTTAATGGGAGGCCAGCTACTGAATTCCTTTGATATCTGGGGTGGGTATTCTGGGGTTTCACAGAAACGTAGGCAGGGGCCATTTGTGGGGTGAGCTTACCCAACCTTCTTACCCCCTCGGTGTTTTAAAATCCAAACAGAACCTTTAGAAAACAAATAAATCAGCTGGGGAACATGTGGGCTCATGGAAAAGGGCCTTCAGCTCCATTGGGATCTTGAGCAACACGTGGCCTGAATTTGCCCCATTGCATTTGTTGCTGCCTCTCAGCTGATCTTTCTACTCTTCCAGGTGCTGCAGATGTTGGAAGAAAGACCTAGCTGCTAGACAAGATCCTCCTTTCCTTCTATTTAGAAGCAATCATTCACCTGATGAAATGCCCCAGAAAACAGTAGTGGTGGTGGGAGTAGCAACTGATCATTTCTGTCTGCTGGGTTTAGGAAGCTTTCAATGACAATAAAGTAAAAGAAACACCCATTCTTGTCCTTTCGTAACTTCAAGGCATTGAAAATGACAGTGCTCACAACCGCAACAAAAGCCTACATGACACCCCTCCCCTGTCTTGTAAGCCTGGCATCAGCCCTGAAGTATTTGAAGACTGCAGGGCCATCTACTGGTAGCAGGGCTAAGTTCTCGCTCTTTCTCACCTGAGCGCAGCAGTTGTGCTCTTGCCATTTCCAGCAGGATACAAAATTATACAAAGTTAGAAAGGTGCCTACACTGACTTGTGCCCAATATCTGCTCTACTCTTCGGCTTTGAAAAGCTTTGGAGCAGTTCTTCTAAGCAATTAGTTCAGAAAACAAGAGAGAGTTGTTAAGGCAGACTTCTAGCTTTGGAAAAGCCACATTATACAAAGGCTGATCTCCAGAATGATTGAAAAACACCTTCTAGTCAAAGAAGTCTGGACAGGGACATTGATGGCTTTCCCATATTCTCAATCACAGCCAAAGAAGAAACCAATCAATGCCCCAATCAGACACTTAAATAACTTTAGATAACTTAAATTTTGATGCCTAAAGATTCTGTTTTCCTCACTCAAATTGACATGCCTAATGGACCAACGGACATCTTTTCTTTCAGCCCAACCTTCTGGTTAGAGATTCAGTCGCATTACAGATGTCAAAAAAGTGAGCAAGATGTTGTGGCCTCAGAGTTGGATGAATTAAAAAATGAAAAGTTGGGAAAACGCCAGAGAAGAAGAGTCAAACTGAAGGTCTTGCGCTTGGTCCACTTCTAAATGCGTGTGGGACTGAGTTGCAAATTTGAATGGTTTCCTGAGAAATAACCAAGCTAATCTCCTGAGGGGAAAAAACATAACGAGGAGGAGCACCTGTGATGGAATGTATCGAGGAGGAGGAGGAGGGCGATGTGGGAGATCGAGGCTATCAGGAGGGAGGGGCTGCATTCCAGGAGGGGGGAGGAGGCAGGAGGCAACACAGTCCGCAGGGGGAGCGTGAGAAGACTAAGAGGTTCAGGATAGCCACTCCCTAGGATCTCCCAGGGTATTTCCACTAATTCCTGTAGTATAGATTTAGTTGGCAAGATTCTGTCTCTAAGGTGTGAGCAGATAAAGGACCTATACTCAACTGGACTGTTTCAGCATTGTTCTTGGGCTAGGCCTGACAGCCCCTTCAAATCCAAAAAAATGCCTACTCTTCGTTGGAGACAAAGTGGGCTGGGTGATCCATGAAAGCCTCCTTGGGAATACCTGTGTTAGCCTTTTGGATACTTGGATTTGAACTTCTTTGGCTACAGACAGCCAAACTGTGATGTGTGTGGTTCTGGCTCGGCCTAAGGTACAAAATCCAACTCAAGGGACTGGTAAGCCATGGTTTACTTTATTTTTTTTTTAATTTATTTAGCCAATTTATATAGCCGCCCATCTCACAGAACGTGACTCTGGGCAGTGGACAACCACAGGAACAATTAAAACAAAGTCATGGTCATTAAAACACAGTTCAACACAAATAAAACATAAAAAGCCAAGATTACAGGAGAATAACAATCACCTAACATAGTACAACCACCTCACAGGCTCTTTGTGGGATCCCCAAGGTGGCTGGAAAAACCAAGTTTTTAGGGCTTATGTTTATAATAAATAATATTAAATACATTATTATTATATTATTTATATTATATTATTATTATAATATTAAATATAAAAATATTATGTTTATCTTTCTGTAGAGAGTAAGGAAGCTGACCTTGATGGAATAATACAAAAAGCATTGCCTAGACAAAATCTACTATATTATGCAAATATAGCTAATGGTAGTTTATTCAACAAACCATGACTTAGCACTGTTTAGAGAACCAGGCTTTTGTTATATGAAGTTTAAGTAGCACATCCAGACCCCCACACACACACAAACCCCCAACTTAGCTCTAAAAGTCTTTTGCCCAGCCTTTCTTTATCCATCCCACCCCCTCACTTCTCCTAGGCCCTCCATCTATGTCATATTTAATTCCATAACACATTTCTCTTTTCTTCTCCTTGAATTCTCTACAGTGACCTGTTTTTTCTTATTGTGAATTATAATCCTTGAAGATAATGGACAGGTGCAGGATGAAAATCCTATTGTTGCAATTCCATGGAACATCTATTGGCCCAATTTAAATTTCAGAGCATTAGAACTTTGCAGCCATTTGTTCAATGCCATAACGTATATGCTTTAGCACAGGAGCGCATGATTTTCTTTCTCACTTAGGACCTCACATATCCTTTGAGTGACATGCCAAGCCATACTCCAAAAATCAGATAAAGACCAAAGGGGACATATGGACAGGGTCTGATTTAAGATGGAATAATCTGATTTTTGAAACACTGGAGTCTACTGGCCCTCTTCTTTACCAAAGGTTCCTTTGCAATGGTTTATTAAGGTTTGTTTTCTTATGTGTAGCTTCAGGGTGGCATGTAGCATTGTTGGAATTCTCCAAGTTTGGTTTTGGAGTTGCAGATGTTTCATTAATATATTTGGTAACACCATCAGGACAGGAGTTTTATAGAAGTGTAATGTGTTGGTTGCCGTGGGTTAATTATCCTTCTGCCTTGTTTGCTTTCCACATGCTTCTATGAGATGGTTCTTTATTTACCTAAGGTTCCCTTTATTTACTTAAGATGGCAGGGAAGTTGGTTTGCACATGCTGGCAAGCACCCACCAAGGATTTAAGGTACAGCACCTGAAGGTAAAGGCCAATGGGAGGCAGGGGGAAGAACCTTTCAGGAGGATATCTTGACCAATGTTAGTCTGAATGTCAACAAAATTAATTGATATCCTGGAAGGAGAGAAAGACCTTGCTGGAGTGCTAGAACAAAATAGCTCTTTCACTGTGTATTCTCTCTAGAATAATCATCCTATTTTTCTTGGCGCTGGGCCGTGGTTATATGGATTATCTTGATGTGTGCACCTGCGGTGTGTTTGTGTGTGTGCAACAGATCCTCTTGTGGAGTGGGAAAATGTGAGCAAAAAGGGATATTTTATTGTCATATTTGTAGGGTTGGTTAGGGATCAAATGCGATAGAACAGTTCTTCTGAACCAAGGTAAGATTTGACCTTTTTTTAATTAACACAAGGATAAATGAACATGTAATGTTTGGTTAGGGTTAGGGTTTTTTTTAGCATTATAAAACCAATTCTATATATACAAGTTTTAATGTTGTTGTTTAAAAACTAAGCCACTGTTATGCATCTATTACATTATGTATAGATGGGGGTGCTGTTTTTTTGAGATTTTTCTTTGCAGCCTTTTATCCTTTCCATTTTATTCACATATATTGCATTGCATTGCATTTTACCTTTAATTCATTTTTTCCAGTTTTTTCTACAGTATAGTAATCAAAACAAATTAACAAGGGATTTGGTGGATTCTGCATTCTAGGACTCCTTGTTTGGCCCCACCAAATATCATGTCATTGGAATCATATTAGGTGCATAGAGAGGTAAAAAATATATAGGCTGTTGTTTGGCTTACACAGGTAGTCCTTGACCATTGACCATTCAGAGTTACGATGGTGCTGAATGAGGAGACTCACGGCCAGTCCTTGCAGTGTCCTGTGGTTACGTGATTGTCATTTGCAACTTTCATTGCCAGCTTCTGACAAGCACAGCAGTGGGGAAGCTGGCAGGAGGTTGCAAATGGTGATCATGTGATGTTGCACCTAACGACCATGCAGGATTCGCCTAATAACCGCAACCAGAACTGCCAGAACTGGCATTGTAAGTTGGCATGATCACGTGATGTTACACTTTATAACCGTGTTGCTTAGCAATGGAGTTCCCAGTCCCAATTACTGTTGTTAACTGAGGACTATCTGTATTTAAATGTTCTTTGATGGTTTTCTGCTGGGTACTTTTTCCTCAAATGACCCATAATTAGGGGTAGAAAGCCTTTGGATCCCATAGCTCTAATATTTCAGGCCTTTTTTTCAATCAATCCCCACCCAAAGAATAACTGGGAGCACTGAGAACCAAAACAACCAGAGCGCTGAAATATCTCTAGAGACTCCATTTTTCCAGAACTACTTTAGAACTTGGACCTGCTCCCAGATGTCAGAACAGATAGTCAAACCTCAGGGAAACAATTTGAGTGAATTGTTGAAACAGATTGGGAGGAGTTAGTTTAACCTCAAACAAAATAGTCTATTTCACATCAAACCTAATCCTCTTGGGTAAATTGACTGGGTAAGTTGACACAGTTTTCTTCCCCCTCTAACCCAGTTAAGGCCTATGAGTTCCCCAAATCTTTGATGGGTGGCTTTTGGCCCAATTCTTTTGGGAAGAAAGGTATTGGTTTGGGTTGACCCATAGGACCCTTATAATCCACTGGGTTGTGGATGGATTAAGTAGGTAATAAAGTTCACTCTGAGGCACAACTGTTCTGCAAGCTCATTTGTGAAGTCATGTTTCTTTATTTGCAAGAAGAAGCTTTTGTACAGTCAGTAGCAGAGACAGGTTCAACACCAAATAAAAAGAATCATTTGAGTCAGCAATGATATCCTTGATGAAAAGTCTGAGCAGAGGGTATCTGGAACAGTAGTGGTTGGCTTTTAGTACTATAAAGAAGAAAATAAAACACTCTTAATAATTTAAATATCATGAGGCTGTCAATAAGTAATCATCACCATCATTATCACTAAGAAGATCTGTATACAGTGATTACTGGATTCATTTCTCATTTATGGAGAAGGAAGCACTTGGTAACATCTGGAGTATCTTATGGATAAAAATAAGAATATTGTGATTGTGCAGATTATATAGCTTGAAGCTGTTGATGTTGGGGACAAATGACCATATCTGGTTGAAAACTTCCCACTAGATGCAGAATTCTAAAACAAGTAGGCTCCTGATCTGTTTCAACAAGCAAGTTGTTATATTTCTCTATGTAGTTCCCTGCTCCCCCCACCCTGGTTTCATAATAAAAGGAACTTCATTTTTTGCAAAATCAGCTGTCTGTTATGATTGATCCCATATAAGCAGAAAGGGACTTTGTCCAGAGTTGGAGACTGGGATCTCAGCAGTAGGAAGCTGCTTAACAGAATTTAAAACACAGAGGTTCAGAATTATACAAGCTTACCCAGATTTCAGGTCCATTATAGGAATTCTGCAATACAAATAGAAAAACAATTAGAGAAACAAGGACTAACAAGTTGATAAAAAATCTTTTCTATACAAGCTGTAGTACCAACCCTCTTGGGAATGTTTAATTATGTCTCAAACACTTGAAGAGAAAGAGGGATAAAAGATAACTCATACTGAATTTACACAACATGCTAGACCAGGCCAAACTGAGATGAACTATGATTTAATATGTTGACAGAAAGGTATCCATTGCCTTACCATGGTGTGTAAATGAGTCTATTGCCCTAACACAGGTAGTCCTTGTTGAACAACCACTTGTTCAGTGATTGTTCAAAGTTACAACAGTGCTGAATGAGGGGGACTTACAATTGTTCCTCATAGTTGCAGCCATTGCAGCATCCCTATGGTCATGTGATCACAATTTGGGTGCTTGGCAACTGGCTAACAATTACGATGTCACAGCATCCTGCGGTCGTGATCACCTTTTGCAGCCTTCATAGCCAGCTTCCAACAGGCAAAGTCAATGGGGAAGCTGGCAGGAGGTCACAAATGGCGATCATGTGATGTCACGCCTAACAACCATGCAGGGTTCACTTAATGATGGCAACCGGAACTGCTGCAACTGCCGTCATAACTTGGCATGGTCACATGATGTCACAGTTTATGACCACGTCGCTTAGCAATTGAGTTGCCAGTCCCAATTACCATTGGTAACTGAGGACTACCTGTAATATGGTTTATTCTTTGGGAAGAGTGTGTTCTGAGGACACGGTTATTGCTTTTTCTTAATCCAGATTTAACATGCTCTGTAAACCAAGCCATAGTTTTCTGTCTGAGGACAGTCTGGTGTGGGAAAGAAGAGGAAATAATGGTTAGTGAGTATTTGGAGAATAAAAGTTGTTCTAGAAGTAATAAAAGAAAGTTCGAAACAATTATGGGTATGTTACTATAGAGGGGATGATTTTGTGACCGGGGCAAGTTTTTCTTTAAAACATTGATCATCCAAAGACCTCTGGGGTGTGACAGTGGCCTAGTACATCACCAGAAGGGACAGGATTGAAAACAGATAGTTAATCAACATGCTAGCTGGTGATTATAGTGACTGAAGTCCAGTGTATGTGGAAGGCAACTGCTTGGGGAAGTTATTCTAAATATTTATTGTGGACTTTTGAAAGACTTAAGAGTCCAAAAATATGGCTCACAATCAGTTCTAGGACTACAGAAAAGTGCATAGTTTTCAGATCTCTGATACTTACTGTTGAAGCTGGGACTTCAGAACACTGTCTCTTAACCATTCACACTCTACTGACCACCAGGAGGAGCGGGATATAGAGACTCAGATCCCACTGAGTCCCCTGTTTATCTTTTACCCTGCCTAGTCTTCATGTATGTGATAGCCAATCTGAGAGTCTCTTCCTTCCTGCCTTTGTCTCCTAGCCAAGCGCACACAGGCATGCCTTCTTGAATCTGCTTGCTAGGATGTAGCTACAGATATTAGGCTTTTCTTCCTCCTTCCTATAAATAAACCTTCTTTCTATCAGAATTACAAAACCTGTTTTGGTGGTCTTTGATAGGTTGAATCCTACTCTCTCTCTCTAGGAAGACAAAACGGATCCTCCAACACTTACGCCATTGTCATTGAAGCTGTTGTCCCCAACCTTGTTGTTATCAAAGCTTCTGCTATTCTAAAAATAGAGCAAAAGAGGATGTTAGTGATTTATGGTTCACAGGAGCCAGCTGTCTTTGAGAAACCACTGTAGACTGGCTTTGAGGAATATCCATTTCATTTACAGATACATTTCACCAGAGAGGAGCAAAGAGGGCCATCACTTGGCACCTTTGAGAACTACCAAAATATAGGCACTCAGCAGAACTCATTGTAGATGCTGATTCTGCCCTCCCTGCCCTGTTAAGTGTGGGCAGGTGAGATGCCATTTTAGCATGTTTAGCATGTTAACATTTAGCATGTTAACATTTTAGCATGTTTAGCATGTTAACATTTAGCATGTTAACATTTTAGCATGTTTAGCATGTTAACATTTAGCATGTTGCAAGTGAGCATCTTGCAACTTTGAACTCCATGTTGTCCTCTCTTGCAACCTTCTCGCCAAGGGAAGTTTCACTCGGGAGGAATACACATGTCATCTCCCATATTCTCAAAATGTTGAATGTTTTTGGAATCCTAGGAATGAATTTCGAGTTCTGCTCAAAACTGGTCAGAGCATCTATACATTTGCTAATACATACCCCTCCATAAGATCCAGAATCATAGCTGTTCTGAAATATAAAATGGAAACAACACAAATTGAAATTAAGAGCAATCCTAATGGCTCAATCTTATGTCAATGAACAGTTGTCCCAATGCCTCCCTAATCTTACAAAGCTACTAAGGCTGTATTCCTTGAATAAAGTTAGGTGAACACAACAGAAGTGGAAAATGCACATTGTAATTGTTAAAATAAAACCGAAACAACAATAGAGATTGGCTATTTGGGATTAAATCTAAACCTTTAGTGGTTAATTGAGTTGATTAATAGTTTTATTGTTCACATGACACAAATATCATTCCCCCCCCCCCATAAGTCAGTTAAGCATGTCCTACAAATGAGTTCCTTCAATCTTTGATAGATGGCTTTTTACGTGGTCTTGTTGAGAAAAAAAAGGAACTGGCTTAGCTTTTGGATTAATCAAAAGTAAGAAAATATACTTAAGGGTTCTTACCCAGCTTTTTAAAAATGTTTTTACCTCCTACAGAGGAATTAATAGCACCAATTAGCTCCAAGCATATTATTCTGGGTACTTACTCCGTTGTCATTGAAACTGTTAGATCCTACATTGTTGTTGTCAAAGCTGCCTACATTCTGCAAAGTAGAACAAACAGAGCTTTTATTTTCTTTCCCGGACGAATTGGAAAAAGCACTAACAAGATCCTGATGTTTTGAGAATATCAGGAATTTGACAGACCATAAGAAATGACCGTAGAGGTTGAGCAGGATCCTGGCTGATTAATATTTGGAGAGGAGACCACCAGGGTTTATAGCCAAACTGGGGAGCTAAAATAAATCCCCCAAAAAGGCACTGGTGAATCATTTCTGTATCACATACATTTTAATATATATTTCTCCTAACTGTATTTGAATGCAGTTCTTCTAATAAGCTTACTTTTTTCACAATAAATTCCCCAAATGTTTGTGTGCATTGCAGACGCTCATTCTTACACATTTCAATGGAAAACTACAATGGCAAAGTTGAGAAAAAGGATAATAGAAGGGAGGTAAACTCCAGCTATATGTTCAGAACTTGTGAATTGGGTTAATTTTCATTAAAATTCTGTGTGATTTTTGTTCATCACCCCCCAGTTAAGAGTGTGATGTGCATAAGCGGAGAAACCCCACTATTTCTTGGCATTTCCAATGAAAAGGGTTTAATATCGAGAAAGGAGAATGAGCTGATCAGGAAAGGGGTTGCACAGCTAGGTGAACAAACGTCTAAGGCACAGCAAGGATCATTTGTTGTGTCCCTGTCAGATATCTTCCTGAGCACTATTTATTTATTTAAAATACTTGTATGATCGCCCAGAACTCTGGGCAGCTCACAACCATAATATAAAAACAATATCATAAAAAAAGAAAACAGAAAACAATAAAAACAGAAACAGAAAAACCAATGCTGACAGATGTGCTATTTGAATCACTCCAGGACCCCTGATCCTTCTCATCCTTCTTCTTTTCCCCTTTTTAGAGCAGTTGACTATCCTTCCCAAGCATGTCAACAAACCTAGAAAGATTAATAGGAATGTGGCTTATTGTCTTGGGCCACTGAGATAGACAGCCATGCATCATAAGGCACTTCAGGGCGAATATCTAGGGCTTCACTTAGTAGGATAAATAAGAGCACTTCAAAACCTGAAGTAGACTTTAGTCTCATCAAGTATGAGTGATCCTTCTATGATCATCTGTTACTTGCTGCAAACTTCTAGGAAAGGAACAATTTACCACTAGCCTATCTCTATGCTGCAAACTCTTAGAAACAGAGGAACTCAGTAGAGTTGGTTGTGAATGCAGGAATCTCACTCCTGGAATATTTAATGTTAGATCAATGAAGCTAGAGCTCCAAAGACCTGATTTCTTTAAAGTGGGTGTCAACACTGAGAAGACCACAGTTACAGAAAGAGCAGATGAGGTGATTCTTTCTAGGTTGTACTGTTTCTAAGTATTTGATTTCAAAGCTACCAGCGTGTCCAAAAATCCCCCTTGTTCTTGTGCCACATTCCACATACTAATCTCGGTGCTGTGAAACCCATTGCTCATGAATTTCTCCAAAAGCATCAACTAGTTCAGCCAGCTGACCAAGACCCAGCTTTATGCAGATGGTAGATCGGAATCCCCATCAAGTTCTTACAGATGCCTTCCAACCTTCAATCAGCCAAGTCCCTCCTTACCCCAGGTGCAGCTCTGGTGCCTTCCAAGGTGAGCAGGCAGACAGCCAGGAAAATAGCCACAACTTTGACTTGCATCTTTGTGTTGCTTCTGTCTCCCTTTCCCTCTGAAGTAGGCTTGGGGATAGGGCCACCTGAAGCCTCTACTTATACTGCAAGTTATCAAGGGCAGTTCCCACTTTGATAAACAATCAGTTCCTGTTATCATGAACACTTTACTTTTGTGAGCCCAGCCTAATGATTAATCCGCAGAAGGACCAAGCCCTTTCTCCCTTTCTTTCCCATCCAAACACCAAAATCCACCAATACTTTTTACCTTATGGATGACCACCCTCCCCTCTCCCCTTCCTTCTTGACCCTGTATTTCTTCTGTAATCACATTTTTACCCTCAGATTATCCTCTGCTAAAGTCTGCCTAAGGGAGTGAAATTGTATTATTTTGTAATGTTTTCTCCTGTTCCTGAAACATTAAGACCGCATCAATTGATTTCAGGTTCATTCTGTATCTTCTTTTAATCTACCTTAAGTTTGTTTCTACCTCAATGGGGGAAGGGTATATTTGTTTTTGAGTGAGTGGGTATTTGTATTATTTATGTGCATTTTGGTACAGTACACTTCTCCCAATGTTTATATTTTAGATAAATGTAACTTTCATACAATCAGGAATTAGAAACAAATCAAATACCAAAGTACAATTTTAGAGACTGATATGAAATTGCCAAAGAGATCCATATGAGAATATTAATCATATGAACCCCAACTCAATTGCTTATTATTTCTCTATCTCTGCAGGGTTTTAAAAAAGAACTGGAGAGCCATGAACAGCTTAACTGGTTTTCCTGTAAGTTGCAGAGGGTTGAATTAGATGATCTTTGTCATCCCTTCTGATTCTACAGTCCTATGCATCTGTTTCTGTAACAATATGACCTGCTGCTGTGTGAAATTTTGCAGCATTAGATGTAACCAAAAAAAAAAGAAGATAAAAGAAAATGAACACAGAATTCATCAGCCAACTTGGCATGTGTGAAGATGTGAGAAAGACGAGGCTTCCTTGGCTGTTATAAATGGAGCAATATGATAGACAGATTCAACAGTGGCAGATCCTCAGAGGTGAGTTTGACAGGCTACAGGAACTTCATTAAATTTCCGTTACAGGAACTGCTGAAAGTGAGATATTAAACCTGGGTCTGAAGATCCTCCAAAGTAAGAATCTTTGTTGAAATGGTGAAATAAGTGATGGAACTCTTTACTAGCTAGTTGTCTTCTAACATGTTCTGTTCATTCTCTGATGGGATCTGTGGTCAGGCTCATCTCATTTCAATATTTGATGTCTAAAAATCTTTCTCTGATGGGTAAGTGGAAACTTGAATGAATTTTGATACACTTCTCCCAATGTCCATGCTGTGGTATTTAACTTGCACATTTTTTTAAGGCTGTGCAACATTTCAAACAGGTGCTTTGGAGCATTCAGGAATACAAGTATAGCACCTGTGCACCATACTTTAAAGCAGCTGTGTCTTTTCCAGGAATTCTGTATATGCCGTTTTGCAGCTGCCCTGTAATCCTGGGGAAAAGATGCGGCTGCTTTAAAAAATTTCAGACAGATGATAAGTTTTCGTTGCTGGATGTTCCTAGACTCTTCAGGTCATTTCTGCAACTGAATCGGCCCAGTCTTTATGCATTCTAATGCA